CCCCCCAAGTCTTGGGTTCCCAAGAATATGAGAGCGGAGTGGGGACCCAGAGGATCAGAGCTCTCCAGGGATGAACACCAGGCTTAGCACCATGTTCAGGCTAGGTCAATCATGTAATAAGTGTATTTTATATGCCGAAGCCACAGAGTTATTCAGACCACTAACTCACAGACACCTAATCCTAGAGGTGCCTTAAAACATCTGGATGTCTGTTTTGGAATACAAAGTCCTCCAGGTATATCACTATAGCCACAAGTTCCCTCATCTAGTCAGATAGGTCAAAGTCAAACTTTGCTGCAAAAGTTCAAAGACCAGTGAGGAGCTACCCAAACTGACTGAGGGCTCAGTCCAGACAGCCAAAAGCAATGGGCAGTGCTGAATTCAGTCATGCAATTGGGGGAAGAAATGAAGAAGACTGAAGACAGCATGGGAGAAGAGCAGTCATCACCTTTTATGCCTAGAGAAATCACCCACAAACTGGCAGAGCTCAGTATTAAATGCTTGCTCAGCTTAAATGCCAGCTCCAATTTCTTCAAAGAGAAGCCTCATCATCAGGCTCCCCAGTGGAGCTCACTAGCCCAGGTTTTATGCTTTGATAATGTGGCCACCTAACCTCCAAACCTAAAATGGCTTGTGTTAGGCCAAACTGGAACACAGCTACAGAAGTAATAAACTGGCAGGTTCCATCAGATTCAGAATAGAAGAGCTACTTTTGAGTATATCTCTTGGCTTCCAAGGATTTTGTTCTAACCATCAACTGTTTAATAAAGTGAAATAATATTTTTTCCTGTGCGAATTAACTCAGGAATTCAATTGCAGTGTTACAATGCAAATATAGATCAGGACACATTCCATACCATGATTACACTGAGTAGCAATTACAACATCTAGTTTCTCATGATAGCAAAATGTTCACCACTCCATGCTTTGCAGCTCTTCAAATGACATCAGGAGCTAATCACTTGAGTGATCACATTCAAGTCCCTAGAAAGACAATGATTCAAAACAAATAGCACCCATATTCCCCCTACTTTCACTCTATCTTTCCATTTGATAAAAAAAATCCCATTATAAGCAGTGAATTCTAAGCATGTATTATTTTAGATGTGTCCAGAGACACTTCTAATTTGTCCCTGAAAATAGAAGATGTTCAAAGGAAAGAAGCAGTGATTGTCTCTGGAAAAAAAAGCAGCTGACGTGGAAGTTGAGATTTAAATTCATTTTCTGATTCAGACAAAATCAACAAAAAGATTACAAAATCTGAAACTGTCACACCCACTGCAGTTACTAGACTGAATCCAAAGTGGAAGTGTACATCCCCTTGGCTCCCAACTATATGTATCAAAACTAATCATGACAAATCTTCCAAAAGATCAGATAACATTGCAGCATTTGCTTTCATTTAAGACTACAAAACCAGTGCTTGCTGCAAAACTATATTACTGTTTCACAGTCCTTGGGTACACACCAGATTTCTGTCACTTCAGCCTAAACAAGTCTGCTTTCTTGTACTGTCTAAAGACACTCTAATATTGTTTAGTTTAAATTACCCAGCCTAACTGACCTTGTCCCTTGCATTCAGCTCCCTAAACTGTCCATCTGATTTTAATCATTTTCCCTCACATACCCTAGAATGCTATGTCATCCTCCATTTTAGGAGGAGTTCACATCTTCTGCAGACTTTCCTCTTCAGAGGTGTTAATGTTTGGAGTCCAGTCAAACTCAGATAAAAAACTAGTGATAAATACTATTTTTTTCTTAAGCTGGAAGTGAACTTGAGCAGTTACTCTGAAATTTCCCAAAGAATTTAGTTTTAACTTCTGTCATACCAGAACAAAACCAACAAGTATACTGATGCTGTGAGACATTTTGCAATTTAAATTACTATGGCTACAACTTCAGCATTTGGATCTATAAAAGAGTCTCACCATTTTTCACTGTATCTTGCTTAACATCCCCCAGTTTAAATCTAACTCAAAACCATAAAAAAATACCAGTATGCTTTCTTACAGAATTTTATTTTAGTGACAGACATCCTGATGTATTTTGCACATAAGAATGCATTTAGACTTCATTTTATAATTAGAGCTTTTTCCTTAATGACTTAATTTTGAAGTTAGAATACTGTGTTACTAAAATATTGAAATAATTTTACCTTTTATTATCTCTACTCAGGTTATGAAAAACTTCATGAACAATTACAAGAAAGTTCTGCTTCAGCACACTGTACTGTTGTTTAACATTATTCATAGATTTCCATAATATTCTGCCTAATCTCTCCACACACTTTTGCTTCTCTAAATAATAAATGTTTAGGAATTCTATTTTTTTTGCTCAATACAATTACAGATTATTATATGCTTGCTATTCACAAGACACTCAGATCTGAATGTTGTTATTTAAGCAAAGACAACAGAGCTAGAACTAATACTTAAAGAAGAAGGAATAGTTAAGAAGCCATATAAACAGAAAAAGATCATGTTTTTAATAGTACTGAGGAATACACAGCTTGGAATCCTGAAGAGGAACACTCCATCTCCTACTAAACACACTAGAAATAAGTGAAATCTTCCACTTAGGTGCAACTGAGTTCTAAGGAACAACAGAGACAGTTATTTTTCACCTGTACTCTATGACATTCATTTATTTCAGTGAATGGGAAAACTTATGGGCAATCTTAGGGACTTCAGCATTATTATTAGCTTTTCCTATTAGATTTCAGTGATATGCCATTTATTAAAATACAGTAAAAGCTTAACAAGTAATTTATAAAAGAAAATAATAAGGTATAATCTTATCAGAATAAATAAAATTCTACACATCAATCAAGAAATCAACAAGTGACATTACACAGATGAGTACTAGTTTCTGGCAATAGAAAATTACTTATTGAACAGTTTTTTGTTGAATTCCCATGCCTTGCTTTCAAAATGCTCCATTTGAGCTCTACCTGCATCCTATGCAATTAAGAAGCAGTTCTTGCTTTTCTGATTTTAAAATTAGTAAGTAGAAAATGTTCTGTGATATAACAGATGTAGCCTTTCCCAATTATAGCTGCATGCAAAAAGTACAGCCAGACTTTACAGATAATATATAACATCATAAAACGTTTTATTCCTCAGATTTTCAGGGGGGAGAAACAAACAAAAACAACAAAAAACCCCAAAACTCCAAGATTCACAACTGTTTTAAGCACTACTTCTCTACAATGAGATTAGCATCTGATACAGCCAACCAAACTCAAGGAATTAGCATAAGATAAACATTACTCACATACTGTTGAAGAGCTCTCGGTATGTTTCGTCACCTTTACCTTCAGACATTAGGCTGTCCAGTTTGTCAATCAGTTTTGCTTCTACCTGCAACATATAAGTGTGGTGTAAACAGCTTCTTTTTCCTTTAATGAGACTACAGAAAAATGAAGGAAGATTTGTTTTTATGTAAGGGACTGTGCAAAATGCATATCTTAGAATTATCGGTCAATCATGTAAATCTGATAAGTCACTTCATCTCTTTGAAGCTGTTATCATTCCCAAGGTTTGTGAGGGGGTTTTTTTGGTGGTGGTTTTTTTGGTTGGGTTTTTTTTGTTTTTTTTTTTTTTTTTTTTTTTTTTTTTGAGGGAGGGAGCTAATTTAAATTGAGCAACATGACTTTAAAGCTACAGACTGAGTAGCATTTGCTGCTGCTAAGGCAGCTATCTATTTATGGAGTCAGACAAAAAACACACAGCCCAAATAAACTGCCTGAATTCTCACTGCAGGGCTGTAAAGCACAAGCAATTTTCTTCGACTTCAATAAAAATATAGGTTTTTCTGACCTGCACCCCACTCATTATAAATTAATTTGCATAAATGTCTGTACTGTTCAGAACACTTGTGGGTTCAGACTTCCTTTCCCAACCTTCCTTACCTGCCAGTGTATTTGGCTAGAAATCCAATTTGATGGATTTACGTATTAGCTATCGAAGAACTTACGGAACATATTTGGTGGCTAATGACTCCTTCAATGCATATTTTTAAGTGTATCGATTATAAAAAAAATATAGAGGCAAGGCTACATTGTGTGTTAATATTTCAAATCTCCTTTTCAGCCGTAATATATTAGCAACTACAAATTTAAGGGAGAAACCAAGCTGTTGTTAAGATATTTTATTAGAGAATAAATCTATTTACAATTTACATTTAAACTCAAGCTGAAAACACAGAGAAGCAGAACAAGTGGATTTTTTCCTTCTCATGCCTTGTTAACATTTATATGGTGATTTTTAACAATAAGCTTACATATTGTTAGTGAAAAGCTACCTACTTACGTCACATGCACTCCTCCGTTCTTAATAGTTTGGTTTGTGTTTCAGATACAGCTTCCAACCTAAGCATTATGATGGGAGTAATTCAAATACTTCTGCTTTCCTTCATTTGAAGCAGCAGGAAGGAAGGCACCGAGAAATGGTTTGAGGCAGTCTGAAAGAACTGAGTGGGAGCTGCAGGAACAGATGGCACACTTGGTGGTTCTTTCCTAGCCTGTTAAGAAGGTGTTTGAGCAGCAAGAATACTTGGATCCTTACAGAAGAACATTCTTCAGAGGGACCATCTGATCTTTTTTCATTCTAACTGGAAAGGAAGGTAGTTGTATCCTATCTAACCAGTAATATGTACTGCTGTAAAGCAGGGATGAAAAACCACAACACAAAATCCACCTTGTTGAATACAATTCAAGTTTTGTTCTTCACTTCAGCAGGCCACGGATTTTATCCCTCATCTAGCATTACTAACGTGATAGCATTAACTGGAGAATGTTACTACCCATGCAGACAGTAAAAGGGGAAAACCCTGGTAATCTCTCTCCAAAACATATAATGTTGTGGCTACCTTCTACACCTTGCATCACCAATGGTTAGGACCAGCACTCCCTGAAGTGCCAGAATTTTAGCCTTGTTTTATGAACAGTTTCACATACAGTACCTGTTTAAAGTTGCCACTTCGCCTTTGCTCCCAGTCCATCATGTCATGGAAAATGGGAATCATTACATTCCTCAGGTCTGGCTGAGGGATCAAGGTCACTTCCAGGAAGGGGCCAATCAATGCTGGGATAAAGTGAAGCTTGTGTTCCCCTAAAATGAAAATGAACATGAACTTGGATGTGAATTGGTTGTCCTGTGAGCTATCAAGCAATCAACAAAATAGCACTCAAAGTCTACAGATTTTTCAACTCATGTCCATCACAGCATGGGCTATTTATTAAATCCAAAAAGTGCAGAGAAAAGCTGTAGACAATAGAAGAATATAAGGTCAACATAACTTATCTGATGTTATTATACAATACTGAGTTCAAAAGTGACAGTGGGCTATCTGTATCCCAAGTTTGTCTTCCAGTAGGAGAATAGAGACAAAGCCCTCTCTGAGCATTTAATTTATTTTTCACAGGAATGGTTTGGTTTATAAACTCTACATTCTTGAGTTTACAAAACAGCTAACTGTCTGATATCACATGCTCATCAAAAAGAGGTAAGTACTTTGACTTTTACCTATCTTTGGTTTTGTGAGTACAGAAATGGAAGTACATGTTTTGACTGCAGAAAAGGGAATACGTGATTCAGCTATTCTCAAAACAACTTGCTTTAAAATCAGTGCTAAAACATCTTCCATTAACTAAACATATTCTACTTCGCAGAAACTAAGTTCTTGTTGGAAAAGCTAGAAAAGGCTTTATTGTAGTAAAGACCCTTTCGGTTTAGTTCTCCAGGTGTAAGACTTCTGGTATCTTTAGAATGGGATTATGACTTGTCATGCACTGACTTTCCAAGCTGGGAATTAATTTCTATCCCAGCCTACTTCTGGATATTTCAGTGGGCAGTAACCCCTACCCTGCCGCTCCGTTTGGTGTTTGTGCAAAAGAAATCTAGAATTCCCTCTGCTGGAAACATCCTGGGATGCATATCCACATGAAAGCAAGGTGACTGTACAAGGATCAAGGCTTGTGAACTCTTACTGCTAAGAGAACTGTTAACATCAATTAGATGAAATATCCTAAGTATTTAATTGGACACATTACTAGATTAACTCCACATTGTAACCCACAGAACTCGCCCTTATTGAAAGGCATCATGATTCCCTCCTTGGCTGCATACTGGGTTTTCATTCAGCAGAAAACACCTTGAGTAGGGGGATGATGCACACTAAGGTTTCAGTGGAGATGGGACCCAGGAGTAGATCCTTGATATACCAGTTTAGAAATATCCATCATGTATCAAAATGATTTAGAGGGATGCCTTAGAGGCAAGTAACAAGTACTAAATACTGTAAATAACTACAATATGCTACACAACAAATGTTAACAAGGTATTAATAAGCAAGTATTTCTTATTTGAACACTTCTTTCTAGTACAGGCTGATCAATTTTTTACAACTACTTATCTTGCTGGAGAAAAGATTTATAGAATTGAGATGATAGTATCTAAGCAACCACTGATGGCATTCGTATCTTTAATAAGCCCTTTAATGAAGTGAACTAGTGAATAATTGAAATATAACAATAGCAAACACAGCGTCCAAATCTTCCACTCAGTTTTTATTTTCTTCCCAAATAGCATTTAATTGTATTTCTCCAAGGCTCATACTTTCAAACAGTTTGCACAGTTATTGCTTATAAATATAAAAATGTTCCTAAAGTTTATATACAAGCATATATTTTTCTCACGTTGTCCAATGTGTCATTTATACGTCAGTCACTGATTAATTTATGCCTTTATATTTTAGTGCAAATAGGACTTAGGGAA